CCACCGCTTACGCTCGTGCGACGGCGACGGCAACGCTCGATCCACCTCTACTCTCGGCTGCACCACTCCCAACCGGCTCATGCCTTCGGAACGACCTTGCTCTCCGTGATCCTGCTCTGCAAGCGGAAGCGCTGCATTTTCCTGAGGTGGGCGAAACGGAAACATACCAAGCAGAACTGCAGCAGCCCTTCCGTCCACGCTCAGCATTTCAGCAGCATTGAGGTGAAGGGCGCATGCTTGCGCGCATCAGGTGGATGATTCTGGTGCTTGCATTTGAGTGATGAAAGAAGGCGGCATGTGCGCCGCGATTGCCTCTGCAGTCTTGTGCCGCGATTGCCTCTGCAAGGCCTCAAGTCAACCGTGCGCTGCACAATTCCCAAGCTCAGAGAAGATCTTGATTTTCTGAGCAGGATGGATGAATCATGAAACCCTCGTTCCGCCTTCATCGTTCTCATCTTCCCCGTCGCCCTGGGTCTTTCCGCCTCCTTCCGCCCTCAAGATTCCGCTCTTTTTCGCCTCCTCCGCTCCCTGCCTGGGTATGTTCGCGAATGCGCGGAAATCTGCTTCATCGGTTCTTGAGATTTTTGCGCAGTTTGGTGGTTTCGCGCTTCGTTTTATCATCGCCTCGTGGCATGCTTAAAATCGATCAAACCGCGTTCTGCTTTTTATTTCCCCACAATTCAAATGTTTGATACTTGATCTCTGTTTAGAATTGGCGAGCAAAAATTTTGGGGGTTCGAGCAAGACAATTATGCCAGCAAGCTGGTTGGCGCGTGTGCAACTGGTCCGGTTTGATACTAATAATGTCGTAAGGACCGCGTCGTATCACTGCCTGTAAAAATATCCCACTTTAGAATATGCTATCGATACGGCAAAAAAAAACCGTAAGGAACCTATACGCATTCTTTTGTCAGGAAAACCCTAAACACGGGAAAGGGCATTGTTTTTAGGGTTGATGCCTCACCGAATCGCATCCTATTGGGTTTGGGTTCTTTTGGGGCACGTAAGGTGCAATATATTGTCTAGATGCTAGCTGGCAAATCTGAATAGTTGAATCGAAGCAGGTCTGGTAAGTTAAAAGTGAAAAAAAAACGTTAAAATTTTAGCTCGAAGTTTTCTTGAAAACATTTCAAAACGGCCCTGTACATGCCGCCACCAAAACTTAAGTGGATTTTGCGTGATTAATGTGAGAAATTATTTACAGAACGAGGTTTGCGCGATCGTAAGCATGTCACGTGGCGATAATAAAACGAAGCGCGAAATCACAAAATTCTCCTAGTTCTTGGTTGCCCTCTTGCGATACGCATGAATCGCGGAGTCCAACTTGGAATGTCTAGCGGATTTGTACTACAGTTCCAAACCGTTAGCAATTATGAAGTCGCTTCAAACACTGCTATATGAGGCTATTATATTTGACACAATTTTGGAGTCGACAGGATGGTCTTAAATCGTAGACCCTAAAAGATGTTCAGGATCCTGGAACTGACATGTTTAGGTTCAACATTCCTGCTCTTGAAGGTTCCTGACAGAGATGTTACGAATAGTAAAGCGAGTACGAAGACGAAAAGGCAGAATGACGCGAAGAGTCGCGTACGGTTGGCATCATGTGGACCATCGGAGCATAAGCATCGAGCAGCTGCAGCACGAATGATTTAGGCAGGAACAGATTCATAACCATCTGGAGTCGCATAGTTGACTTTCACTGTAATAAATTAATGTACCCCTTAGAGTACATGATAGCTAGGGCGTTTCGTATTCGCAACACTTCCTCTGCAATTTACTATCTGCAAACCTTCCTAAGGTGATACTAGTCAAGATCAACTCAGTCGCGCTACAACCCCCGACGTTTTTGGGAAACTAAGGTGGCGTCCAACACTCGCTCTTGCGTAAAATGGTTAGGAAAATCCTACGGCTGAAGCCTAACCCAATCGGGTTGCGACATCGCACGCCGAGAAGGACGTATACGTACTGGATTTCGACATCCTATACAGTAACTGCGACAAAGATGAGCTAGCTATCCTCATCCCCCTCCGCTTCGAGCATATCCACTGCTCTGAGTGGAAGCACCCCGACCGGAGGCCATGGGTGACACATCACCTGCACTCGCGCGAGGTCGCTCTACACGACCCCGACCTTGATGGCGTCTGTAGAGATTGCCGCACGTTGATGTCAAACATTATATATGTTGTGTTTGTTTAGGCTACAGTGGGTTAGCCTATAGGGGGTACACAATTCTAGGGTTAGGTACTTGTACTGATTTCACTGCTAGTTCAATCATTCCTGTCTGTTGATTCCGACATGGTTTCAGAGCAGGTCCTTCGCTAGGACCGTTCTTAGGGCCCACCGCTACCTACCTACCTACCTACCTACCTACCTACCGTGCGCCCTCGTGCGCCTACGCGCCCCAGTGCGCCTCCTACCTACCGCGCGCGCGCAGCCCGCCAGCCAATCGCGCGCGGCTCGTTTTTTTTTTTTTTTTTTTTAACCGCGCGCGACCCGCTAGCTGCCCGCGCGCGGCCGATTTCTTTTGAGCGCGACCGGCTAGCCGCCCGTGCGCCGCTCGCACCGCTATAGCGCAGCCCGCAGCGGCCCCGCAGGCCTGCACATTGCCGCCCGCCCGCTGCAGCGCCCGCCCGCTCGTCGCCCGCTGCAGCTGCCGCCCGCTCGTCGCCCGCTGCAGCTGCCGCCCGCTCGTCGCTCGCTGCTGCTGCCGCCAGCTCGTCGCTCGCTGCAGCGCCCGCCCGCTCGTCGCCCGCTGCAGCTGCCGCCCGCTCGTCGCCCGCTGCTGCTGCCGCCCGCTCGTCGCCCGCTGCAGCTGCCGCTCGCTCGTCGCCCGCTGCTGCTGCCGCCCGCTCGTCGCTCGCTGCAGCTGCCGCCCGCTCGTCGCTCGCTGCAGCTGCCGCCCGCTCGTCGCTCGCTGCTGCTGCCGCCCGCTCGTCGCCCGCTGCAGCGCCTGCCCGCTCGTCGCCCGCTGCAGCTGCCGCCCGCTCGTCGCCCGCTGCTGCTGCCGCCCGCTCGTCGCACGCTGCAGCTGCCGCCCGCTCGTCGCCCGCTGCTGCTGCCGCCCGCTCGTCGCCCGCTGCAGCTGCCGCCTGCTTGTCGCCCGCTGCAGCTGCCGCTACCACGGGCCCGCCGCTGCAGCTACCGCCTGCGCGTCGCCCGCAGCCGCTCCCGCTCGTGCGCCGCGGCCGCTACCGCCCGTGCGCTCCTGTTGCGCCTGCTACCGCTGCCGCTGCTGCACTCGCTCCCACTGCGGCCGCCGCTTCTGCGCCCACTGCCGCTCCTGCCCGTGCGCATCAGCTGCTGCCGCCCGTGTGCTGACACTGCCCACAGCTTCCCTGCGGCCTCATTCTTACTGTTTCTACCGCTACTGCTACTGCCGCTATGGCTACTCCTACTGTACTTACTTTCGATGCTGAGGGCCGTCCAGTGAAGTTCGAAACCTGGCTCGATGACCTCCACCTCTTTCTACAGCTCACTGCTAAGGAGGACGTTTCACTGTACGATCACGCCCTAGACGAGCGCGAGCACTTTGGCCAGCACAAAACTGCTAAGGACCTGTACACTGCTGTAGTCGCTCGCTACTCCTCCCCCGCTTCTGCCACACTAGGCCGCCTCACTCTCCCCTACCTGTTCCCCGACCTGGCCTCCTTTCAGACAGTTGCTGACCTCATCACCCACCTTAAGACCAGTGAGGCCCGCTTTCGCGCTGCTATGCCTGACGAGTTCCTCACCAGCAACCCCCCCCCGCTCTGGATCACTCTCTACCACATAGTCACCCGCCTCCCCGACTCCCTGCGCACAGTCAGGGACCACTTCCTCTCTCGCTCCCCCACTGAACTCACCATTGCCCTCCTCGAGAAGGAACTGCTTGCAGCTGAGGCGAGCATCGTCGCTGTAGGCACCTCTCGTGGCGACCCCCGCACCCCGTTCTTTGAGGGGTGTTCCCCTTCCCCTCTCCTCCCCTCTGTCGCCTCTGCTGCTGCTGTCGACCTCCTTGGTGCTGAGAAGGTCGGGGCCGCGTCTGCTTCGAGCGGGCGCCGCAAGAGCAAAGGGGGCAAGGGTGGAGGTGGTGGCGGAGGAGGTGGGGGTGGAGGCGGTGGGAGTGGAGGAGCGGCTGGGGAGGCTAGTGGCGGCAGTGGGGGTGGTGACAGCAGCGGCGGGAGTGGCGGCAGGGGTGGAGGCGGCAGCGGAGGCGGAGGTGGTCGTGGCAGCGGCAGGGGTGGAGGTGGCCGAGGCGGTGGCGGCGGCAGTGGTGGTCGTGGAGGCGCTGGCGGTGGCCAGAGTCAGCAGCCCGCCCCGTCGCTTCAGGCCGCCCGTGAGTGGTATGCGCAGCGTGGCTTTACCTGCACGTACGTCATTCGCACTGGTGACCGCACTGGCCAGCAGTGTGGGAGGCCGCATCCCACACAGCGCTGTTTCGCGCGCCTTACTGACGCGTGGCGTGCCCAGTTTCCTGATGCCACTGACCTGCCCCGCTGGGCTGATCTGGAGAAGAAGGGAGTTGATATCTGGGCTTTAGACTTTGATGCTATTCTCACTGCCATGTATGCGATGTTTACTAGTGGAGAGGGTGCTCAGTACTTGCGTGTTCCGCCCGACCCGGGCATTCAGACCAGTCCGGCTGCCGCTCTAGGTGCTAGTGAGTCTGCTGCCCCAGGTCCTGGTGAGGCTGCTGCTCTAGGTGCTAGTGAGTCCGTGCCCTCTGGTACTGAGTCGACTGCAGCACTGCACACCTTCACACTGGACTCAGGTGCTTCTCGCTGTTTCTTTCGTGACCGCACTGTCCTTGAGCCGCTTGCTCGGCCAGTTGCTGTCTCCCTCGCTGACCCCTCTGGGGGTCCGGTCGTTGCGACCTCCTCCACTGTCCTTCCTTGTCCTGCGGTCCCGTCAGGCACACTGTCAGGTCTCTACCTCCCCTCGTTCTCTACGAACTTGGTGGCAGGTAGTGCGCTCCAGGACGGGGGTGTTCACCAGTTCACCCCTGCTTACGAGCGCGT